TTGCTTACAATTTGTACCTTCCTGAAATTAAATTAAGACTTCATCGAATGCTTGTACTTCCCATTTTCGAGTTTTTTTGCCCATTCTTTGGTTTAGTTAACGGGGCCAGTCGTTCAAAAATTGAAAATGTTCAAAAACGTTTTACTAGAAAACTTTTGGGTATTGAACATCCGAGTATCTAGTAAGATAGATGCCAACTAAGTAGCCTAAAATGTCTTTGGGTTCGAAGACTAGAAGCAGGCTTCTGTCTCCTCTTTCGCATTAATAATAGTTTAAATCTCCCTCGGATTTCAGCACTTACCACTATTAGACGCCCATACAACCTTCACAACTCTTCCTTGATCATAATTCCTCCCTCTTCCCCCACCTCTAAGCGTTTGTAGCAGCCGCTTCAGCCCCCCTTTTCTCCGGCTCCGTTTTGTCGGTCGATGGCCGCGACAAGCACTGACAGGCCGCTGACACACGACCGCCCACACCGGCTAGAACTGGGGCACCTCCTGTCCACCTGCAGTGACCCCCGGCTGCCCTCACAAACTAGTATCACCTAACGCACGTCGAACGCTTTGGCTTGATTCCCGTGAGGCCTTGTGAGTATGCGCCCTCCATTCCTCCCCTAATTTGTCCAATCACACGACCACCACTCAGACAGTCCTTCCCCCCTTCTTGCTGACCCAGACATTCACGCCCGCGTAAACACACACCACGACTGACGCTCTCCGTGAACGGACGCTTTTCTCTGTTGCAAGCAAACAGCCAACTTACGGCAACCTGCCCTGTGTACAGAATAAGCCAGTCCTCACAGCTCCCTGACTTCTGAAAGTAGACGAAACGAACTTATTGTGCGTGGTTTAAGTTGATCTCTCATCCTTAACCGCCACACGTTCTTTTTTCGCTTCCATATATACTTTCCTCTGGAATAACCTCCCAATAAATATAAGATCTTCGGATAATCTGCACACTTTAATCAAGTCAGTATTCAGATAAATGCGCAGCGATCTCTTTAAAGTTTTATTTCCCTCATCCTTTTCGGACAACTTTCTCTATTACACCAAGAAAGGGCCGCCGGAAATTTAGGACGTCGCCATTAAATTTCCGTATCCGCGCACATATCCTTCTTTCGTGTGTAGTATCGCTTCGTAGGATCCCTCATCAGAAATGTTATTTATTCGATTTTTCGGTTCATGCATCGTTTTCCCCACAGAATGCGCTCTATCGTCGCTCTTGGCGGAACCTTCTGTATTCGCCATCTACTAGTAGTGTGGTCGCATCTCCCTTGCCCCCTCCTCGGCTGGATTCGGCTGACTGTAACCGATCGCATCTGGGTTCTTATCGCCTCGAGACTGGTTTTCTATTTGCCACTTTGACATGAATGGCCTCATCCGGCATATGATTTCCGCCTTGATGATGCCCGTTTCGAACCTTTTACTCAATACAACATACAGGCCAGTCCTGCCTGCTTTTTATTCACTCAGAAGCGACTGCTTTTCTGCTATAGTGCTAATATAGTCATAGTCATTTTGTTTATATGTTAGGAGTTTTTTTCACTGCTCACTCATCATTCTTCGTAGCATGCTACTTATTCAATTACCATAAATTAAGTATTGTATAGGCTCTGTATACCTGCTCTAAGATTTGTGTAGAAGTTATTCGTACTTGCTATGAAGGGGCCCCCACGGGTCGTGAATAAATATTACTATTATTATTATTGTGTACACTACTTATGCAACCGCGCTTACTGAAAAGCATTGCTGCAATCCTGTTTAACTAAACCTTTCCAAAGTATGGAACATTATAGAATTTCGGTTAAAAATTTAAGAGAGACGACACCTTCTGTACTAAAAAATAGTGCATGAGAAGATAAAGTAAAGTTTACCTATGTTATTTACCGTGTCTTCGGACGGATACCATGGTGGGCAAACAGCGGCGTCGGTAGTCCCTCCTGCAAACCGAACTGACTTTTGGGAATAAATCCAGTCCAAAGGCTTTACTTTCTCAATAGTTTCACGTCTTCCAGTTCTACTACTGCATTGGCCTCTGGATCTGTGGAACCAGTCAATAGCCGTCTTGCGAAATACCTGAGGTTCAGCCTTCCAACTACTGTCAAATGTTTTGTCTGGAAAGCACGACGACCATATAGATATACATATTCACATGACGCTTTGTGTTCCGTTTGCCTGCTATAACACGCTGAGAACAGTGAAATTCCGCCGAGCAAGGTAGCTCACTTTTTACTATCTGCATTTCAACGACACGGAGAATAGCCTTATCGCATGTATGTCAGTTCCATCTGCATCAGCATACATCAATCTTGTTTGTATGCTGAAGTTAGGTCCTCCGCAGACAGGCTCCAGTAACCGTGTGGTTAAACCGGTCTACTAAATTGTGGGTTTAATGTCGGTCGAAAAGATCTGGTCCGTGTTACGGCCACAAGCAGACCATGTGACTATGCAAACACAAAAAAGAGTAGCCTATGTTAATTAAAGTCTACATTCACATAACGCTGTAATCTCACTACACTGTTGTTAATTCTTCCAATTTTTATGTGACGAATAGGGAGTTATAAAGACGTAAGCCTATTTTCCTCAAATTTACTAAACTGAACTAAATTGCTTATATAGACCGGCCCAGAATAAAATTTCTGGTCCACGTGGTTTTCTTAAAGATACAGTAGGTGGTCTAACTCATGAAAGGCCGTGGTCAGAACTTGAGTGAGAAGTATGCCAGAGTTTTTGTGTTGTAATCTGTGTTTCAAATTGATTTGAGGCGCAGAATGCCATATGATGAAGATAGATTTCTCTTCAAATCAGTTTTATCAAGGGAAAATTGATTAAATTTGGACGAAATCTGACCTTCCTTGATAGCTGATAGGTGATTCCCTACGCTATTCAAATTCACAGCTTAAAACCTCATGTTTATGTCCATTGTATTATATACGAACATTAATATAAATAATACAACTAAGAAATAAATCACTTCTGGGGACGTAAAACTCCAGTTCGCCTCCATGGAAAACAGGCGAGGACGTGTATGAGAAATTGCATTATTTTTATGAAAAAATGGTTGAATTCAGTCTGTGAAGTTTTGTTTTGCAAATTTATGGCGTTTTGTGCGATAAAACTTAAAAATAAACTTATCTGACAGATAGATAGATAATTTTTATTAAAGACCCGTCGGGGTCCCATCAAAGCAAGTTAAAAAAAATTTACATGCGAATTTTTGACGAGGTAGGCCGAATCTTTACAAAATGCAATTCATAGTTTCTGAATTAGAAGTCCACTGAGAAACATGATGATTGAGGGGTGAAAAAAACTCCTTACAAAAAGTTAAAAATGATTAGATTAATTTTACAGAAAAAACTCCTCAATGAAAATAATGACAGAAAAAAGCGAGCGGGACTGGCCTGTAGGTGGCGGTATATAACGAAATGTTGTCGGTCATCGTCAGGGTAGCCATAAATCTCAGCCTTGAGGGGTACGAATGTGGATCAGACAGGACTGGCTTGCATATGGCAATGTATACGGGATTCAAAATTGAGATCGTCTGGGCCGGATTGATACGCCGCGTCAAAGAGGCCAGACGAGAGGAACCCAGATGCGATCGGCCACAGCACACTACGAGCTCAGCCGAGCAGTGGGGAAGGGAGGTATGACCGAACTACTAGTAGACAGTGAATACTGAGGGTTCCGCCGTGAGCGTCGACAGACCGCATGAGGTCGAAATGCGGGAGATGACATCAAAAACCGCGAAAATGTTCGCTATGGGGGAGGAGTGATAGCAGTGGATTTAGAAACCAATTAAAAACAGGGGTTTCTAATGATATAATTAAGAGTTACCACTAGATCTACCACTAAATCCCAGGAGGACCACATCCATATTTACCGAACACCCGCGATATGCTGTCACTTTTCTGTGTCACAGCATGCGATAAAAATGTCCAGACAATGTCCAGACATAGTCTACATCGAATAATTAGTACTACAACCGAACCCAGAAATAGACAGGGTGGGCCAAAACCGTCTACAAGTAAACTAGCCGGCGGGTTTTTCGTCATACACTAGAAAGTATGATAATATGCTCATTAGGACCGTTCACTGGGAAAATACAGATATGTATACAATAAACAGAATATTTTCTTAAAATGCAGGACCGAAATTCCAGAACAGTCAGTTGTATGTGACAACGGTAAAATTAAATGATAATCATCCGAATTAGCGTTAGGTGTATGCAAGGTGTTGGGTTCGTATAACAGTGATGTTCTTTCCAGATAAGCGGCATTTTCCAAGCAAATATGCATTTAGTCTCTACTTAAATGTCTCCATGAGATCCGCCATTATCACGTCCACGGGAAGTCCGTTCCAGGCATTGACGACTCGCTGGGAAAGAGAGTGTTAGCGAACGTCCAGGCGGCATCGGGATCCTCGAAGTTTAAAAGAGTTCTCACGCAGGTTTGATTTTGTGGCCAAGGTGAAGAAATCATCGAGGTATAGGGCACAGTCCCAGTTCCTCAAAACCTGTACGCCTGTATGAGATCTCCCCGGATCTGCATGAACTCAAGAGCAAATAAGTTCAGCTCATAAAGTCTGTAGCTTTAAGTTAAAGTGTTGAGGCCTCTTACAATTTTGGCCGACCTCTGAACTTTTCCCAGCAACTTAGTCTTTTTTAGCCAGGGAAGCCGTGCTTGAATTCCATATCCCAGATTCGAACGAATGAACGCACCGTATACCTTTCGAAATAACTCCTTGTCTTTATCTATGAAAGGTCGTTTAATGGCAAAGAGAACATCAGTTGCCCTATTGGCCGCCCTAACGCATTGAGAGGAGGGCTTAAGAGTTATTATTCATCAACATTATCATTATTATTTTTACATATTATCCTTCGATATTTTCCCCATTCCATGCGTCCTCCTTTCTTATGCACCCTTATAGTAAGCCCTATTTAGGCGATTTGTAATATAGCCCTCTTCTAAAATTCTGGTCTTCATTGAAAATTAATTAGGTTTACGTCGATAATACTAATTTATAGACCACCTAGGATTCCATTTTAAGAACGATCTTTCTTTCATTGCTGAAGGACTCTGGGGAACGCAGTTTGGACGGATTTTGCGTTATAGGAGTTTTCTTGTACCAATTCATGAAATGTCAGGAGTTCATGTTAATTCATAGTAGGGACATGCCCCTTACTATCCCCTTGTCCCTATTGAGAGGGCCACGTGTTGGCAGGGATATCTGCGTTTTCCCGAGGTCATCCATTCCAAGTCTCCAGTGGGTTAATCCGGGCATAGCTTGTGCTTGCCCTTTTTGGGTTCCGACGGAGACCTCTTTGGAGTTTCGTTTAAATTTAATTGCTCATAGGAAACCCTCTCGGAATTCCATTTTATCTTCTTAGGCAAATAATTTACGGGCATCATGTCCTTCATTTACGAGACATGAGAACTGATGAGGACGTAGCAACACAGCAGAAGGGAGGATTTATCCAAGTGTCGGTAGAAATCAGTGTATTAAACTCTCAAATGGATCGGAATACTTCAAGGTGGTTGGCGTTCATTTTCTTTATTGTATGGCCTGATGCATTAAGATGCCACAGTGTTTGTAAAATATTAAGTTTTCTTACGTTTTTTAGAATTCTGAAGCTCCGCGTCTTTGTTAACTTGCCACCTCGAAATTAGTACTGACTGCTATATGCAGTTGCAGGTTTGGGCGGTTCAACCCTATATCCGTACTCATAATGGAGCGAAGAGTCCAGAACGCGAGTATTCTTTGTAAAAATAACTGTGGATTTTATGGGAATCCCTCCTGGGCTAATTATTGTTCGAGATGTTATAGAGAAGAGTATCTAAGACAAAGTGCCAGCAAAGCTGCGGTTTCTGCACTGTCACAAGTGTCTTCCCCCGCATTTTCGAAGTTCGAGGCAAAAAGGAAGAAAGTTGCCGACAAAAGTTCGAGCACAGTCAGGAGTATTTTAAAAATAACAAGGGGTGGGTCGTCCGTTTTCATTTTTATAGACTGTAGATCCCCAAAATAGTACCTCACATCTACCGGATGAGGCCGCCCAAGCCCAAAAAGATTTTAACCAAGTTCTCCAGAAATGGAAACATTCCGCATCTGCTGATATATGGCGACAGGTTAAAGTTTCTCTGTCTCATACTTCCTAGGTTACAGACTTGTTAAACCTTCTCGACACTTTACGGCAAAGTGATGTCACGGAATTCTCAATGGCCGTGCAGAAGTTTTACACCTCGATTTCAAACAGGATATATAAACACCAATTTTACAGTGTGCGTTCAGAGCCATTTGTTTGTTCTTCTGATGCACACACGACCTGTCCTGTGTTTGTATATGAACCTATTCTCAATTACACTGTAGGATGCCTCAACAGAACAGAAGGAAGAGTTGATTAATGCAATTGAACGTTTTCTCACAATTTGGATACATCCATGGGCATTTGCTCCACGCACAACCGATGATGAGGAGATCGACCTTAAACTTCAGGACAAAATCAGGTCTTTGCATTGGGTTGGCCATCTCTCTCTGGAGGCTCCAATTGATCCATCCTCACCCGAGCAGTCCCTGCACCTTGAGTCTGCTATACTGGGTCAGTTTCGTTTTTTTCATTTATTTGCATACAGATATAAGTATGGGGTTTACTGGTGAATCAAGGACCCTTGCATTTGTTACTTGCCTGCCGGAATCTACTCAGGCATAAAACCTAGGCTAAGCGCAATAGTGTTTGACAAAATCTAGACAGGGGTAGTTAGGAGCGGGGCGGCTAACAGACGTACAGCTGTCAACGACAAAAAACGGCACAACCAGATCATCACTATTAAAACCGTAAGAATACGCCAGGGGCCGAAAGATCGAATACTGAGCAAACTTTGGAAAGCGGCAGAAAAGTGGTGGCTGAAGATGGACAAGACTGATAAACAATGAAAATGCGCATAAAACAAGAAAATTGCCGCGGAAAACGGTCAGCTTCTGTATAGTTGAAAGTGACGTCAAAACACAGGCATATGCAAAGCTGGGAGATTGTGTACCGCCACTGTCGTGGTAGGATAGATATCTCCTGACTAACGTGTACCACCGTTGTCTGCCCTGACTACATTAATCACATCTCTTAGTTTGTATTTTCGGGCTGGGTCAGCGTCCTCCAATGGCCGCAAAGAACCCATCTATCACATCCGTGTAGCCGGTCGGGGTTTAAACAGCTTTTTTCCGGATGCCCTCGAAGACTGCGCTTTGGAAGAACGACTGGCAGTCCGCATTGTCTGGCATCTGCGTCTTAGATGTTTTTGTAAGACCTGCACGTTACCGTCTCTGTTGTGGCGTAGATAGTTGGAGACTATTTACCCCTTCCCTATTTAGTTACTTCTCGCTGTAATCCCCGTCTTCATGTCATGTCTTTTTATTCCACGTTTACTCGCATTATCTCGAATCTTCAGTTGGTGCATGATTTTTTTGAAAATGATTTTTTTGGTCTGAGACTATTCAGTTGCCATCCAGGTTTCGATTTTTGTCTCAGTTTGCAAGAAGTGCTGTAAGTGACGTTTTAACGAGTCCCATTACTCTACTCAATATAAAGATCTGGCGAATCTGACACACCGATTTTCGTAGTTTGGGTGGCCATTTCCGTCTTTCTTCTTTCATTTCGTTCGAGTCTTCTTTGAGGAAATTCAAGAAGAAATGTTCTACAGTTTAGAGTAAACATATGTTCAATTGCTTTTAGCTCTGATCAATATTAATGCAGTCCCTTCAACTGAGGCCAAGCTTGATCAAGTGGTTCTTTGCTGTCGGGAAATTTTCGAGGCGCTCAATCTGAATGCTATTAGTACAACAACCGCGACAGAGGGAAATAAAAGAAGTGCCCCGAGTTTGAAGACAGCTTCTGAGGGCTCCGCCGCAAATACGGATGATTTCCTTCCTGCACTCATTTGGGTCGTTCTTCGCGCCAATCCGCCTCTTCTTCATTCAAACCTGCAGTTCGTCATGCGGTTCGCAAACGGAACCCGCCTTAACACGGGAGAGGCAGCCTACTTCTTTACAAACTTGGTAAGTGTTGTCTGCTCTCATGATGCCGTAAACCTATGCTTGATTCTTCTATGCGTAATCTTGTATGTCCGATATTGAAACTACAGTAGGGAATTACACCCACTACGTTCTGTTGACAGGTTTTCTGCTACCAGAAATTAACCTGGCCGTTTTTCATAAATCTGATCTTTAGTGAGGATTCGACTCGATCACTGAAACAAGACATTTTTGGCCTGACGTTTCGGATTCCCCCCTAAACTTATCATAAGGGATAGTGACCGATGAAGGCGATTAATGCACAGAGGGTGCGGCTTGCGTGTGGAGTTGTCAGACCGCAACTTGACTACAAGACTTCTCCAAATAATTAATTGTGAATCACGCGAATCGTCTTCCGATTTTGTTCCACTAATTACGACAGCTATTTGGTGTCGCTGTGTTAAGTGTACGTGCCTTTCCCGGATTAGTCCACAGCGGCACATTCTCCGTCGTCTCCCGCACAAATGCATTACGTTTACCGTGAGTCCGACACTTCTGCGCAACTGAGGACGGTGACAAGGAAGTCAATTCGAAACCTGGTGCAACAAAGGCCGCCAAGACAGCTCTTTGACCTTCAGTATTCGATCTTCGTTGCCAGGGAAGAGAGCGGATCGAGGTCTCTGGGTCCGCTGTCGCAGATCATCACACCCACTGGTTGTATTGCCATCGGGACCGGCTTGGTTAGGCATGGGCACAGTCATAGCATGCATAAAATCGGCCATTTGGTTTATATGCGCAGCCTCGACGATGTCATCTACCAAAGTCGTGCTGTTTGCGTGCGGGCATGTTCCGTATAACGTCATAAGCCTAGTGTTCAGGCGATAACACGGGAAAGAAAGGTAAAAGAGTGTTACTCCGCTAGCCCGTCCAGTTTAACAAAAATCAGGCGCAAGCTTTAGATCTTACCGATCTAGCAACTTGCCTCTCGGAAACAAGATTTCACTCTGCACACCATGATGATCATATATGAACTGTCCCTGTATCTTAGCCTTACGATTCCCTCCTTCCTTACCTTGTGCCTAACCCACGTGGCAAGTAGCTGCAGTGCCCATAAAGATCTGGCCTTTTGCTTTGCTTTTATATTGTTGAGTCCTTGTCGTACAATGATTCATCGCATACTACTGGCCACCGTGGTACTTACCGGTTAATGCTTTGTTCTGCCTTAGACCCTTCTATACTACTTCCTGTCCAACGCAACTGTACGAATAGTGCATTTACTGCTTTTGAACACTTTGTCCCCTACAAACCCTCTGAAGATCAGTAGTGTGTCCCCTCTGAACAATCTACCCACCCCTGTTCCTCCTCTCATTGCAGTGTTGCGCCGTCACCTTCATCACAGATCTCACACACGCCTCTTTGGGTATGAGCAAAGAGGACTTCGATACTCAGATGCGTGACGGTGTTTCTGTAACCCTCTGTCCCGTGGAGATTCCCGGAGCACTCTTTGAAAACGAGAGCCGTTACCGGAGAATTGGTGAAAAGTGAGTCTTGCTTTGACTCAGCTTCGTATTTCTTGAAACATTAGTAGATCATCTCTCTCAAGTCCAACTAGCTATTCCTTCTGCAAATTCGCTTAAGTACGGGCATCTCTCTGGACAATTTGGTGAAAGCTTGAAGCTCACCAGTACGCTTGCATAAGTAGATCGTTACCTCTATCTGCACTGCCGAATTACACTTCCAAATAACCTTTATTACATTCCCTACACTACTAAGAGTGTACTTCGACAGAACAGAGACCAGAATCTCCATTTGTGGTTGTGCTTAGACCCTACACCGGGCTCACTGGATTTGCGCTGTGTTGGTTGAGGTCAAGATACTCACCTCTATGGGGTAGTTATTAAATCTGCCCCTATTTCCGGGCGGAAGGGTTTCGTGGCATAGATAACGGGCACGCTGTCCTGTGATCGGAAACTCGCCGCCTGCCGCCGTCTAATTCCAGTTCAAACGCCCGCTCTTCCAAGCCTGGGCAACCGTCCACGGGTTTCCGAGGTTTGCTCACCACAAACCGCAATTTGCCCATCATTTCCTGTTCTGTATTCAAGATAAACTGACACAACGTGCATGAAGCAGACTCCAGCTAATCGGTCCGCATTGAACTAACAGGTTTCGTACCCATCAAGCCACTGACTGAATTATCTGGACTCCGAATGGAGTAAGGATTTCCTCTACAGTCGCGTCCGTTCTTTCTCGTCTCCGTTTTTTTAGGCTGTTCTCCAGAGTACCCTGGGTAGTGCTTATTCCGCCGCAGCTTGTCCTGCTGTCGTATGATGCAGTAGCTGGCCTGTATCAGGGAAATTCTGAAATGTGTTTTCCATTAGAAGGGATTACTTAGATGGGGCTGTGATATTGATTGTCGCAATGCATAATTCTAGGATGCTTCAGTCAGGCCAGGATGCCGGCTTTTTACTGGCCTTCTTGCCGACCGCCCGTCAATGGCTATTTAAGTGGTATGGATTTTCCCCATTGATTTTGAATGCCCTTATAAATCCCAATATATTTTATAGAAAATTGGCATAAGAATGTTATTTCTTGTACTCATTTGTTGGCAAATTACGTCTTCAAATTTTATATTCGAAGAAGGGGTATCATTCGGTCTTAAAAAATTCAATTCCCAGATAATTTTAAACCAGACCCGCAATTGCATATGCGCCTAGGGATTCCGAACAACATGCTGTAAGCTCTCCGGGGGAGAAAACCCCTATGTTAAAAGCGGTCATATAGGGACCATAAAATTTCCCAATGGATATAGACCATATTGTGTACTTAATAAGCAGCATTAGTAAACGATGATGATGAGCATTTCATGATTACAAACTGTTAAAGCCGATAAATATCCTTTGTTCGAGCATAAAACTTGAAGAAAACGTAATTTTCTATCAGTCAGGCACGAGAAATAATATTTTATGTTTTTTATGAGATATACTTGATTTTATAAGGACATCCAAATCAATTTGAAAAAAATCATACTACTTGAGTAGTCATTTTACCGAGCAAGGTTTCTGCAGTCGGCTGGAAAAAGCACGCCAACAAGCCGACGTTCTGGCGCGTTTGAAATATCTTAGGATTATACTTCGCACAAATCAGTATTACAACCTCGTCAGAGTAACCCTTTCCAATCGACAGCACATTTCAGAATTTCGCGTAACATTACATGAGATAAGTCGGCTATGGTATGTTTGATTGTAAACTTTGGCACACCGGTCTTATCCGCCAGCTGACAGTAACGAATGTTGGGCTGTTTAATTTCTTATTTGGTTCAGTAGTGGGATTTTACCTGCCACCGTCAGGTATATTCTTGTAACCGTGGAGCAGTTTGCGAAAGTGCGTTGCCAGGCCGGCCGATGTTTAGTAGAGTCAGTCAGCAGCCACAAACTGAGCGCCGGATGGCAAAACGCTACTCACTCCCTTTCCCCCCCCCCGACACGCTTTTTAACCCCTGTTCCACGATAGTCCATTGCCACCATCCGAAACTCCACCTGGCGGCCGCACTGAGGGAGACAAAAAGGAGGTCAACGCAGAACTGGGCTTCACACGCTCCTTCAAGTATTCCTGGCTGATCTTCGACATCGTCAGAGCCGGTGATATTGGGCACAATTGAAGGAGTGCGGAGTTACTGCCTACGTTTCGTCATTTGTTCGAAAACATCTCACGGACGTTCCTATGCAAGGCTCACAATTCCTATTTTGAGATTGCCCAAGGCCGGCCATCGACCCTTTGTTCAGAATCTCTTCCTTCAGTGGAATATGTCGGTATATGTTAGGAAAACTAGTCTCCTAAATGCTTGAACCAAGAAGAAAAGTCGTAATTGTATATGATTCGTATGCAACTGTGTGTTTAGTACATATTTCGAACATCCAGAGGTTATACTTAGTTTGCAAACGAAAGCCTTCGTAGGTCTTTTTCGACTTTTGTCCTGGTGCACATCGTTTTTTGCGCTTCCTACCTTCCCCCCCCCCTCTCTCACACCCAGATAGCTGCTCGGGTGAGTGGACGATGCCGGATGGGGTCAGGCGAAAGTTCTACCCAACTGGTGAAATCTTGTGGTCTGCCTGAAGGGGTCATCCGAGTCGTGGAACACGCAGACGGAGTTTTTATTGTTGCCTCGAATAACGCGAATGTTGGTATAGACGTCATCGAGTTCACGCTGTGAGTCCATGACGTTCACGAAGATTCGCGACCGCCCCGTCCGGTCTCTTGATAGGGCCCTAGTACCTATGGTGACGACAAGTCAAATCCTATTGGATGGCGGCAAACATTTGCCGTTCGATTTCCGGCGGCGGCCGTGGCATGGTCCACGATTGGTTATTCGTTAGGTCCTGGAGTCAACTTATTTTGCGACAAGGAGTTATTAAAGGCCCTTCTATCCGCCACCCCTGGACTCGCCGGACGGCCCTTTTGTCTTCTCTGACGCAGACCGGGTCCTATTACGGGGTATCCGTGATCATATCTCTTCTTCGGTCGTTTTGCTACAGTCCCTTGTAGCACGTCAGGAAGAGGGGATTAAGTCGGTGTTGTCCAAATATCACCAAAAATATCTGGATTCACCGCAAGTCTTGGCTGCTTCCCCGCGGTACTGACAGTTATAGTCATGTGTGACGGATAGACTGTTATGCTCGTTCCACTCCTCCCGCCCCACCATGCATCTCATTGTCCCCTACCTTGTAGGATGGAAGATTTGGAAACCCAATTATTCAACGGCGAGAGGGATCTTCAGTCTGCCCACGAAGACCTCATGAATAGGATATCTGAACTGCGGACGACGTATCCGGTGAAGCGGACCGTCTTTCTCGATCCGCGGGAATTGGAGTCGCCGCATGTCCTCTGCCTCGGGCCACCCGAAAAGCCCGAGGCCGGCACCGCTGCTGCCGCCGCTGCAACCGCCGACACCCCTTCAACAGGGCCGGTCCCTCCTCCCCCTCCGCAGCAGAGTCTCCTCGACGTACTACCCAACGAGGACGTACAGACACCTTGTCTGTTGCCCTCAACGATTGACTAATTTTCCTCAACCACCTCCCCCCACCCCTTCCTGCTCTGTTCAGTGTCTGTACAGTTCTCTCAGCACTAGATCTCCTCTAACGCCCCTCCCCCCTGTCACCGTCTCCTGTGCAATCGACCCATCCCCTTCCTTTCCGCCAATATTTTGATTGTTCACTTGCTCTTTTAGTCCCTTTTGCCTAATATGTGCTAGTATGATTTCTATTCTTCCTGTTTGGACTGCCTCTCACCACATGCACACGTCTTATCAGCCCTCCCCCTTGCCACGCACTACATATTGTTTTATTTACCGGAGTTGCGCTTTGCTCCTGGGCTGAAAAGATTGCTCCTCCCGACTCCTGTTTTTCTCCTGATCTCCGAAATACCATGGCGGGGCGTGGAAATTCTACATGCCGCCTCTGCTTTGCACCGCCTTTATGCAGTCCGAACCGGCGTTGTTGGACTCTGACCTGTGTTTTACGTGCGCTCAACTGCATTTCGTGCTCTATGACTCTGCAAACATGATTGCTGCACTGTGCTGGCAAGCACGACATCGGACAGTCCGACCGTCGTGACCGGTGTTGTCCACCGTGTAATCCACAACAGGGTGAGAGCAGGCACTGTGACTTGCGCAGCATCTACCGCAATCTCTCCTCCCACACCTGGACCCAGTGTCAAGACATAGTTAAAAAGACCGGAAGCGGGAGAGGGCGTAGGTGGCTGGCGCGGCCGGACCCACACCTAGGCACCCGTCCACTTCCCTTGCTCCACAACAAACACTTGACCAGCGGATAGACTACAGCTCTGATTACACATGATAGTGGTATTAGACTGGTCACTGCTTTCAACCAGGGATTGTTGGACTTCTACCAGCCTATATCCATGGTTTGAAGACTGTGATCCAACATGGGGCTGGTTGTCCTTGACGCCCAAAGGTGCCTAGTCTGGCTTCCTGGGCTCAAACATGGCCTTCTGGCTCTCCGTGATTTGAGACAGAAATTGTAGTTTGCATGTCTCCCGGGTAAGCTCGCACCTGTTTGTACTATAGCATGCAGGTGTTTACATTTGAAATGGTGACCTTTTTCTCGGCAGGGTCTGTTGCATACGTCCTGAGCGGCTGATGCCAGATCATCCTCTGTGTGAATGGCAAACGAATAAACAATTCGCCAGTCTGGACGTGCAAACACGCTGACTGCAATTAAGGTACGGTGAGTGACCGATCTCATGAAATGTTGGGTGAAATTCTGAAATGCATTTTCGGTTAGAAAGGATTACGTAGGCGCGGCTGTAATACTGTTTATCTTGCGGTATAATCCTATGATATTTCGGACTTGGCAGGATGTCAGCTTTTGAGCACACTGCATTTCAATCTCCTGTAGAAATCGTACTCGGCAAAAAATGATTTCGTAAGTATCATGCATTTTTATTATTGACTTTTGATGGTCTTGCAAATTGAAATATATTTTTGCGAAACCACGAACAAAATTAGGCTTTCTTTTAGTATTGGCAGAAAATCACGTAATCTTTATATTTTATACCCGAGAAAGGAGTATAATTAGGTTTTAAAAGGTTTCCAATTATGAGATTTTTTCAGACCGCACAATGTCCATTCATATAGCATGCAACCTGTCCGTTTATCACTGCTCCTCATGAAATGCACAACATTGTCTGCATCCATAGCAAAATTTTATGAACTCTATATGATATCTATCTAAAGGCATACAAGAATATGTGATTTTCTTTACGCGGAATGCATGCACCTTGTAGACTAAAACCACTAAGTGCTAGTGATCAAGCTCCAAATTATTCGGCAATTAGAGAACTTTTTAAAAATTAATTATACTCCTTCCTCGAGCGTGAAATATAAAGATGACGTGATTATCTATCAAACGAATAAAAGCAAGCATAATTTTGTTCGTGGTTTTTCAAAAATATATTTCAACTTGCAAGACCATTGAAAATCAATGGTAAAATGCATGATACTTAAGTAGTCATTCTTTTACCGAGTATGGTTTCTACAGGAGATTGAAATGCAGTGTGCTCAAAAGCTGACATCTTGCCAAGTCCGAAATATCATAGGATTATACCGCAAGATAAACAGTGTTACAGCCGCGCCTACGTAATCCTTTCTAGTCGAAAACGCATTTCAGAATCTCACCCAACATTTCATGAGATCGGTCACTCACTGTAAGTTCTGGAAGCGTGTGCCAACGATGCGTCATGGGCCCCAGCAAGCGTTTGTCATTGGAAATCGTGCAGTAGACTCTCGAGGGTTTCGCTCCGAAATTGCGAGTTTGTGCAGTTGGATATCAGGTCGACCGGACAAATTTCCTTTACGATGGACAGTGGACTGCTTCCCAGAACTGGGCCTCAAGCCAAGGACCACCTCAAATACGTGCGCACAATGGTCTCTGCGTTGGTTAGAGTGAGGTTCTCTCGCTTTTAGCGGCATTTCCCATGACCGATGCAGTCGCCCTCGTGTTATGGGCCAGTTGCATCACGAATTATACGAGTCCGCTGCAGCCAGCTAGCAGCAGACCTGGGTGGATTTTAACCGACTAACGAACCAGCCCCAGAGAGATCGCAGGACCAGATTCTTCCAGCGTATTCCTTTGGATATCTCAACGTTGCCACCAGCGCATCGCCAAGCCGGCTCAATTCGGCGTGCAAGGAGGACAGAATTTATGGAAGGCGTATCGGAGCGACTATGAAATCGATCGCTGGAGACGCGGTCGTAGGGGGCGAACTCAAGACTGGAGCACAGTCAAAATTTATCAAGTTCTTCCAGGTGGTGGGTATCTCCAGAAAGTACGTGCGATTTCTTACATCGGCATGTGAGGATTGCTTCAGTGGGGGACCTTGTGACTTGATTTTCTACCTGATTCTTGCCGATTTCAGAAGCTCTAGGGGAGATAGTGCGCCAGTTTGGCCTGGTGGTTAGCCTCGTTCTTGCCCTGGTCTTGTAGCAGAAAGTTCAACCCAAGACAACAGTTGTTCAATAGCCGGAAATATCCGCCTGCGAAAGCTCAGGCGACCGACGTCCTACCTTCGCGCCCTTCTAGGTGGCAGCATGTTTTAATTTGGCAAAGGAGCTCGCCAACAGGGCAGCCTCACTAGTACAGTCCAGATGCACAATGCATGGACACCGACCGGTGTGGTCTATCCGTGAGGGTCGTAGAACCTGGGCTATCAGGTTTGGTAGCGTCCGCTATGTCATTATCAGCAAAACCTGTCCTTCGCGGCCTGATGTGCGCTGGCTGTCAGTCCCCTGACACCTGGTTCTCTGGCGGTAGATGTGCTTGCGCTCTCGCTGGGCATACAGGTCGTGTGCATGGCTGCTTGTTCATCCACGTCCTTCCCGCTGTTGTTGTCGATCAAAATCCTGGCCAAGTATTTGTTGTGGACCGGGGGGTGTGGAATGGAGCGCCAAGGTACGGGTTCGGCCGTACCATCCACCTTCGCCCTCCGCCCCCTCCGGTCTTATTGACCCTGCCTAGCGCCGGGTCCAGGTGGGGGTGGAGGGGGGAGGAGGAAACACGGTGGATGCTGTACGAGTCTACTATAAATACAAACTAATTCACGCGCCAGTCACCGTGCCTGTTCTCATCTTTCTGCGGAGCACACGGTAGACATCGTCGGATGCGACGGTCGAACTATCAGGTTATCATTCACTTGAACACAGTCGTTCGTTTTGCGATTCACTCGGACTTTTTTCTATGTCAGCAGACCCGTATCAGTCTGAGTGGCCTCGATGGCATGCCATCATGCGGCATATAAAATCTGCAATGGACTGAAGCCCCAAAGGTCGCATCGCGATATAACGAGGGATTACTCTTTACTACTTCGAGCCCAAAATGACCTTGAATCTTATAGATTATCTTCAACTAAATGGAGTTTGAGGCCAAACACAACTAAATTAATGAAGCAATATGAGGGAGAAAAACAACGGTGATCACAGGATCTGCTGGGACACCTAGTTATATGGCCGCGATCTTCAGACGGAAAATCAAGTGGCGATTCATGGTCGTTCAGCTCACATTTGTTTCTTCATACTTTTCGTTTGGCATTCCCACGTGATTCGGTGGTGTTTTAGGTACGAAAGCAAGTTCTGTGCACAGCATAGTGCCAAACGCATCCATGGCACCTCGCCGCACTCATCCCTATAAATCTGACATGGCAAACGTCGTAGCTTGGAGTTTGCAAACTGACAGTACAACGGAGGTCTGGCAGTCAGCCCTGTGTGTGTGCGTGCGTGCGTTTGTGTGAAGTGGCCGACTGGTGGGTTGTTGTTTAGCTCCAAGAGCTCCATCTTAATATGCCCTAACAGCCTCTCACGCATGTGAAATCCGAGCCGATTATCCCCGTTTGTGTGAAACTAGCGTCCTTTTTGCGTGGAACAGGCGTGCATAGACGGGCTGTTTAGGCCTGTCAGGCACTGCGCCCGATCCTGTCTCCGGTTTTCTTAACTCTGTCTTGGCAACGAGCTCAGATGGATGAAGAAAGAGAGAGTGCAGTAGATGCATCACAAGTGCACCAGCACTACGAACTAATTCGCGCGGAAGTCATCATCTCTGCACCCACTCCGCTATGGGACACACGGTGCACAGCGTCGTCAACAGCGATCGAACTGTCACCGAACGCAGTTCTTCAGGCTGTGCCACTTTGATTGTCATGTAAGTTTCAACAGATTCTAGCTAGGGGGAAGTTCTGAGAACACAGTCCATAAATCCCAACAAATTTATCCAGAAAGCAGCCGGCAGGGTGCTTTTTTCGGTTGGCTGAATTCAGGGATCAATTTCAACTGAAAGTTGTCAACTATTCAGCAGATTTTCAATCCCAAGGAATACCTGTTAGGTTCCTGTGAGCCTTCGGATTTTTCTGACAAACTATCTCACCATATTCTCTTGGAATGAGAGCATCTGCGCACTCACTTCACTGCTGCACCTCCTCATCAGGTGACGCCTCCCCCCCCCCCCCAAGAAAGCACTTCAGGAGCCGCGTGACTTTGCTAAGCGTCAACAC